TTTGAGTACAGAATGGTTCAGATGCCATTGCCAGTGTTGTATTTCTATTAAGAGGGGGAATTCTTAATCGCAGGTGAACCGGCTGATAAGTTTGATGGTTTTGTGAGAACATTTTCAAATTATGCAAATAAAACATTTGTCTGGGGTCCAGATGTTTAACATCAGGGGTGATGATACTTCTGTGAGTGAGAGTATGTCAGCCTGCTTCAGTCTTTATTTGGGTCCACTTTCCTAAACTGCACCTCATGATAATGACAGCTTTAGTATATGTTATCTATATCTGCAAATGTCATGAATAAAAGTATTCAGTCAGTCAGTATTACTTTTATTAATCATTTTGGTAGTTAGCTGTCAGTAAAGGAGCTCATGGAGGCTACATGTGTTCTGTTGTCGTGAAAGAAGTTCATGTGACCTGTAATAAGATTGTTTCAGTAAGTTAACAGAACATAATGTAAATAGCTCTGTCTCTTTCTGGGTAACTCAGAGAGGTAGCTGTCATGCACAGATGGAGGTACCACAGGTGTGGTTCAGGCTTTAGGGGGCAAGGGGGAGGGTGGTGACCATTACACAATTTATGTATTTATGTATGTATGTACTCTATTAAAATCTAGTTTTAGAAAATGTAACTCAATGTTAAAATGATTTATTTAATTCTGGCCTTAAGGGGTCCTTTACAATTATCATTGTTGTGAATTAAGAGTGACAGATACATTTCTGTACTGTATTAACCCCATCTGTTAAAGCACAAGAAACTTTCTGTGTAAATAAAGCAGGTGGCTTTGAACAAACAACATTATTTTGTGTCCTGAGAATAAGAAAAGACTGAATTATCTCAGCTATTTAAACTCCTTGCACTAAAATCTTGTTGTTCAGCCTTAATCATCTCTTTTTTTCTTTCAGGTATCATCAATGGAGCTATTATTGGAAGTGCCTTAATTCTATTAGTTCTTGTTGTTGTTTTTGTTGTCATCTATCTTATTAGAAATAAGAAACTTAAAGCAAGTAAGTCACTTTACATATATCTGATTCAAAACCCCTTCTAACTTTTATCATTCTATTGTATTTGCTGAATGCACATGCACGTTTACCAAGTGTAAGATAAGAGAGGAGATAAGATAGACCTTAATTACTCCCACACATGGGAAATTTGTTGTGTCACATCAATGGGATAGGATAAGACCCAGAAAAAAAATTCTGGATATTAGAGCAAGGGACATCATTGCTTTGATTGACGGGTGTCTGCAAGCTCTCGTTGCTGTCTGCTAGGCCTCACCTTCACTATGTTTGTTCTGTTGGTGAACTTTGAAACATTTACTTAGAAACAACATGTTCTGTTGTGTTGATCAGAAAGGCTGTGCTTTTGTTTTGATGACTGAAATTCTAATATTTATAATTCTGTCATTTAGAAATGTTTGATAGATATTGGTTTGTGTGTTGCACCCATACAGTATCCATCTACAGGTTATTAACATTATTTTTTTATATAATCACAAAGTCTCATAACCTGATCTTTATCAATATGAAGACATGGCATTGGGAAAGGTCCATGTGGGTAATTGTGATTTGGGATTTTACATAATATCAACTTTAACTCTGATCTTACACACAGCACGAGCACAGCAGAGGAACACGGATTCGGAAATGAATGTAAGGAGTGAAGCAGCGAGGGATGAAGAAGAGAACAACCAGGATACAATTGACCCTCTGCTGGGAAGCACAGTGCAAAGTGAAAACACTGCCTCATGATGGAAAAATGCTTCATCACCTTCCTAACACAACTGCAGAGTAACCTTCTTGGACTCCTTCCAGCTCCTCTGCCAGACGAATCTCCAGAAATTGCATGAACAAGCTCTTCTTCTTATTTTCTTTCTTTTTAATTTTAAAAGGCTTCATGGTTGAATCAAGGCTGTTAAAGTTAATAAAATGAAGCAAAAAGTAAAAATACTATCAATGAAAAAAAATTGCAACTGTTTCAAACAATAGAAAATAAACATAAATGGTTAAACCCACCCTGTAAATGACCAGAATCGAAACTGAATTAAAAAAAACAAACAAAAATTTTGAAATCAAATGATGAAAATTTGTATATTTTGTAAATTTCTTGCTAGTTTACTTTTATGTTTAGTTTATTTTATGATTAGGCATTGCACAGCAACAACCTGGGCCGACCGCTCAGTTGTATGAGCCGTATGGTATGTGGTTGCCCGGTCAATGGGCTGGGCTAAACCAGCACCCATGTTTTAGGCTTTTTGATGATTTTTTTTTCAATCATATAACAGGCTGGGAGGGTGCTTGTACTTTGACGTCCCTGCCTCAACATGATTATGTTATTATCCAGTGTCAGGTACATTTGTATATATTGTTACTTAGTTACAACTAACTATATTTATGGTGTATTTCTTATGGACATTTTAGACAAGGGGGTAGAATAAACTGTTTTTTCATTGATGAAACAGCAGGACGTCCTCTGCTTCTCACTGGCTCCATGTCTGTCATTGTGTGGCACACTGGTTCACTATCTCTCGCACAAAATCAACACAACACAGCACAAATCCCGCCAATGATTCACTTCCTTATAAACCACTGAATCAGGCACTGAAGCAGTGACGAACTGAATGGAGGTTAGTTTGTCACTGATCATGTGACTTTGTTCAGATGAACCAAGCCGTGCCACAGTGTTTCTGAAGCACTGAGTTGTTTTTTGACATATGCTCTGGTGCTTCAACTTCAAATGGACCAACACTACTTTATGACTTTACAGTTTAGTGACCAACTCTTGCATTTATTGTTTCCTATTATTATTATTATTATTATTATTATTATTATTATCATCATCATCATCATCAATAATTAATAATAATAACAACCATGACTCATTTTTTTCTAACAAATATATGAAAGAAAAGTTACTTCCAGCATGTTCATAATTTTTCTGCTCTTTTTTTTGTTTCTGCTTCTTTTCTCATCCTGATTGTAATTTATGGATAAGTTTAGGTCATAAGTCTCTTTCTTTACAGAACAATCCACATGCATATTATCACTTCTTTGCTGTTTTACTATTTACACTGTTTCTGTGGGAACCTGAACAAACGTCATGGGAACAGAAACATTTCTCTCACTGAATCAAAGTCTAACTTAAACTCTGACACCACTGTCCAATAAAAATGTTGAGAGATCTGACATTAACAGTTGAAAGATTCCCTAAAATCACAGTTTTCCTTGATTTGAGTCACAATCCCAAATCTAAAATCCAGCTCAATAGATAGAGGTAGATTTTGACCCAGAACAGCCTCAGTGTAAAAAAAATAAAAATAAATTGTAGCACATGTACAATAGTATAACATTTTTTGAATATTTTTCTTTGTTGTGTGTTTTATATTTCTTTGTAAAATATAATTTCAGGCTAAAAGAATGACATTTCTGGAATTTTTACTGTTATCAAACACCAAAACATGTTAATTGTGTTTTTTGCCCAGTTTGTTGTGAGAACATTTATGTATTTATCAGAAGCAATTAAAAATATTAGAGCAATTAAAAGCTGCAAGTAACCATGATTTACTACAGAGATCTAAAACACTATAGGAGGTGTGCTCTTAACTTAAAAAGATTAAGGAGAAGCAACAACAATGCAAAAATAGGCTACATAGATATCATAACAGTACTCATTATGTGAGTCTTGTTGTAGAAAGAGGCTCTGTATGTGTGAGTCCAGGACTCCTCTGCCTCAGAATCCATCCAGTCATTATCAGTTTCTCCAAAGTGTGACTCTGCTAAACATCTGTATGCTCACCTCCGCAGAGGACGAGTGTTAGAAGCAGCACAGCAGCAGAGAAGGCCGAGGGTCTGTGTGTGAAGATCACACTGATCTCCTGAAGAGCCATCACTCATTACTCTGAAAATCAACAAGCAAAACAAGCTTCCTGTTACTCTCTGCATCTCACAGCAAGCAGCCCAGCAGTCTAATATAACATCATGTGTTTTATTCTAAATGTTTTAACAGCATAAAAGAAATCTTACCTGATGTTGTTCTTGGACTTTGATCAACCACTCCCATGGTTCGGAATTCTGATTGTGCACTGAAGCTGTAAACAATTCCTTAACCTTTGACACACTTATCAAAAAGCTACAAACCCGCAGAACCTAAGTAACTTTCGACTCTTTCTTCTAAACTTTATTGGCATCTGTTTCCTGGTTTCATACAAGTACATTGCGCAAACTGATACTTTCCTCACACAGAGAAGTTGTACTACAGAAAACCTCTCAGGTGAAATCAAAGAGTTTTTAAAAGAGCAGCTAACAGTCAGTTAAGTCCAACCTATCCACAGAAATAAAGAGACAAACCTGCATGGCATCTGATTACACTTTATTGCACACTTCAAATCTTTGGTCTTATCAATAGTAGTCTGATTCCAGAATACTATACACCCTGTTAATAAATATCCTACATTGTTGAGCAGATTTTACAATTGATAATAATGAAAGTAAAAAATATATACGGTCCAAAAGTAGTTATTATAATAAGCAATTTCTTTTCAGTGATTTTGGTTAGTGAAGTTAGGTCAAACAAGACAGATTAAACTATGTTTAAGGTGATTGCTTGGTTTTTGTTCCACAGTTGAGAGAAAAAGACGGACATTTTCAAGAAGTGTGTTTTAGCATGTTTGTAAAACTGAAATATAACATATGTAAAGCTTATGTCACAGTATGTGTAGTCATATAGTCACGTGTTAAACCGAGGCCTTAGTTATAGTAGTGGTAATAGTACTTCAAAATGTTATTTTGGGGGAAATGGTGCTTTTTTTTCTTCACATGACCAAAAGATAACAGGAGCAGGTCAATGAAGAGAAATTATGCTGATCATGGTTGTTCACATTTCCCTGTTAGTTGCAAATTTAACTAAGAAATCAAGTCTTATAGAATACAACTGACATGTTAGAGTTAAAGAGCACAAAGACAGACCTGCTTTAGGGTGGACATAATTTCCCACCAAGAAGAAATGTTCAGGTCTTCTCCTCAGCAGCTTCCAGGATCTCTTCTTCTGACTCTGTGTCCAGCTGTTGGTTTCCAAATGCTGAGGCTCTGTTCATTAAGGCCTCTACACTGGTGTGTGAGCAGGAGTCACTCTGTTTAAAACAAAACACAACTGAATATCACAAGTTTAACATAATTTAAAGCAGAGACAGAACAAGAGAAACTGTAAGATTTGATGAAAGTACTCTGATAGAGACTGACCTCTGTCTAAGCCAGCATCCACTTGCTCCACCCAGGATCAGCAGGATGAAGAAACCCACAGCAGCAGCAGCAATCAGTCCACCTCCACCTAAAAATAAGATCTAATAGAGGAGACATTAATGAAGGAGAAATCTTTGCATTTTTATTCTGAAGTTGTTCCATGATTAGTAGAAACTGGTTTTTGCTGACGAGTGAAGCGCTGCCTCTCTAAGACGCTCTTTTTATTTCATGTCACTGACCTGCTGCCACTTAGTCACATAGTAGTCTTCCAGCTGTTTTTTCTTGTCCAGACTGCTGCCACTATCTTCAAACTGAGCTGATGGTTTTTAATAAACAGTGAAAAGTCACAGTTTCAAACATTTGGTGTTTTCTATGTTGTGAATCAAATATGAGTTTATGTGATTTGAAAATGTCCATTTTTTTATTGACATTTTCTACAATATCACCACTTTTCAGTTAGACAGAAAGAGATCAGACAGTTTATTGGTCAACCCGTGAGATTAATTACCCAGAATGCTACAGACAGATCTGAGATTTACAATAAGTGTTTGAGCTGCAGTTCATCACCATTTATTTTTTTCAACACGCTCAGTAAACATTTATTGTACTGATGTAAAGTAACAACCTCAATTTTATGGAGGATCTTATTATTTTGGCCATTACTGGAAAGAATGCCTAAAGTAGCACAGACACAGTGAGAGGAAAAGTTCTGCACAGTCAGCAGGTTTGTATTAAACGTGCTGAGGTGTCAGTGAGACCAACATCTTGGAGTCTTTGTGAGAGGAACAGTTCACTGATAAGTTGGCACTGAAATTTGAATTTAAGATGATGTCCTAAAAAAATATGTACTGTAAACCATGAAATACACCAAGACTTCTTCTTGTAACATAAAGCCCTCACCCCCAACCTTTCTATTTTTAAGCAATAATGGTAATAATACTAAAAAAATAACATTTGATATTTTGTCTTTGTTCAATCTTCAATAAATGAATGAATTTAAAATAAATTTAAAATACATAAAATAAAAATATCAGAGCTGTCTTTTTGCCTCAAACACATGAATTGGTTTTATTGACCAGCTTTATTCATATAAGGAAACTGCTTCTTATTTGTCATCATACATTATAACAACAACACCCAGCACGCCCCTGCGGGCGGTTTATCCTTCAAGCTCGGGTCCTCTACCAGAGGCCTGGGAGCTTGAGGGTCCTGCG